TGAATCGACTCATAATGTACATGAACTCTTGTTACAATTAGAATGATCATCTGAATACGCTGGCAAAGCATGTCGGTTTTGTAATGAAATACTCTGCACATGCGCACGCACACACGCACGCACGCACGCACGCACGCACGCACGGACGCACACGCACACGCACGCGCGCACACACACACACACACACACACACACACACACATTATATGTATGTTTGTATGTATTTCTCGTTTTATTAAAACAATTACGATAAAATCAATTATTTATGAAATTATTATTTTTAATACCTTCATAAATAATTGATTTTATTGTCATAGTAAGTATGTATTTGTTTGACATTTACTTATTATAGATATTGTAAATAATTTTCCAAAGCTTTCCTGGTTACATATTATCTTGATTTCTTGATTATCTGTCAAAACGCTCCTATTATTTCGAACACGTTCTCGAATTTCTTTAATCTACTAGTAAATATCATAAGTATTATTGTTATATAATATTTTATTTCTTATTAAATTGCTCTTGAACTTACATTTTTTAAGACAGCATAAAATGTGATATACTTTATGGAGCATATTAAAAAAATGATGTTATAAGAAAATATATCTAGAAAAAGGTCAAAACTGTATTCCGAAACAAATAATTTTATCAACTGCAAAAATTATGGCACGTGATGATTTGTATAATAATTGACTTTACAAAGTATAAGAAAACACAATATCACACAGTAAGATATTCGACAAAATAATAAAAAATTGATGGATTTCGTAACGTTTTTATAACTTAAATTATCACATAAGACATTTATATCATAAAATCATGTGTATTAAAAATATAAATGAAATAATTATACCTGAGTGCTTGTAAGCGATATCATTATTAATAAGGATAGTATGAAACGAATATGTCTGACTTTGAAATTATCATATGGCCAAAGACCAATTGTCGATAACAAAATACGATTTAATTTAAAATATTGTTCTTCAGGAAACTCCATTTCAGATGATAGTTTATACGTTACTGCTATATAGACAATACTGTACATATAGCCACTGTCTAATACTATCTACAGAAACTTTCTTCTTTTTTAATATACATAAATTTTCATAACTATTTTTTCATTTTCTAGACTTCTCTGTAATGTGTGTATTTATGCAAATAGAGATAATATAATAACAAGAAGTAAGAAATGCGTTATTCGTCTAGAGAAGAGAACTATATCTACTTACAAATATGCCTATAAAGAATAATAATGGTGAGTAATAATAAATAAGTCATAATTTTGAGTGCGTGGTACATATCAATATTTTATGTTTCTCCTCCTTTAGTAAGCGCAAGCGCAACAGATAGGACAATGTTACTTCATAAAAGCTAATAAACTTATGGATAGCGAAAGCTGCATTGTGATATTTCAATTGAAATTTTTTCGTTTGTGTGAATTATCATAGATAAAAAATTTGTTACAATGTTATTATACACGAATCTTCATATTTCAATATTTATATTGTTGCAATACAAAAACATCAATATTAAAATTTATCTGTATAAGAAATATTTTATATAATTCTTTTATTATAACTTAAACAATATATTCTAAAAGATTTACGATTTAATCAAATAATGTATTTATAAATCAACATTTAATTGTAAAAATATCAAAACTATTGATGCACTTATTGACACACATACATTAAATGGATATTATTAAGTTATTAATATCATAATTGCATTATTTTTACTATTGGTTAACAATTTTTATTAATATTAATCAGTTAACAATAATATAACCAAAATTAGGAAGAAAAAAGTAAACTTATTAATTAATATTTAATTTTGTATTTTAGTGAAAAATTTTACATTTTTCATAAAATTAAAAAAATTAAAATAAAAACGTTTAAAGTATTTTATTATATTAATATTTTATTTAATAATTTAGAATTAACTATAACAATTTATGTCATAATTTTTTTTAATAATATTATTTGTGTACCGACCAGAGTACTGTAAAGTACGACAGAGTGGTGTTCATAAGCTGAAATTCAAAATTATGCGTTATAAAAAATTAAATATTAGTAATTTTTATTTAATTTTTTTAACTATAGTATAAAATATGAAAAATTAATTTATATACATATAATACTCATAAAAAAGTAGATAGTTATAAATGTAACTTTTGCAAGAAAATTTTAAATACATAAAGAATGAATAAGCTTTGAACGTTAATATGAGGTACTGAAATTAACTCGACTTGTCTAAACAAATTTAATATGTTATACTGGTATTGCATTTACCGTTGCAAAGCCTTCCAATGATGGAACAAACATTCCGCCTACAACCATTTTGCAACTTCTCAAGCTTCTTTGCATTATAATTGGCAATAATTTTTGTGCTTGTATAGGCGCGCCTTGCCATCGTGTGATGTATCTAAAAGTTTATCTAGGTATTAGTTTTCATCATTTATGACATCATAGATACGGCTTGTCATTATCATATCATCAGGACGATATGAAATTATTTTAAGTGTTTTTACGTATGTATATATCCGTAACTGTTGTTAATAATGTTAAATTTATCATGAAAAAAATATAAATAATTAGTATATCAAGATAATTAATTAACATTGTTAGTATACTATTATATTAATATGTGAATGCAATTTTGTCATCATTTTAATATTTTAATTACCATCCATATTTTAGTAATGCGTAAAATTCGTAGTGTGGATTTTATTCATTTGTTTAATAATGATTTTACTAAGTATTTAATACATTAAAGAAATAAAATAAAATATATTAAGACATTTAAGAAAGAAAATAAAATATTAAAATAACACTTGATTTATTAAATTCAAAGTTGAACTCTACTTGATAGTCAAAGTGTATGTTAATTGTGTTATCGTTATAATATACAACAAGAATTAAATAGAATTCGTGTTTATAGATATTATTTAAAAAATTTTTATAAAGTTTTAAAATTCTGAAACATATTTAAAAGCGTTATGTGTACTTACATGTTTTGAAAGATATCTGTACTATGATCTATTAAAATTTGGCCAAGATAGTTACCCACAAATAAATAAATAATGTGACCAAATATAAAAAAAACTATCAATACGATTTCGTTAATTTTCTTTGCAAATAGAACTGCTTGAAAAAGCTGTGAAAAAATGAGCAATGATTGCAGAAGTTTAGAAATAAATATTAGCTAGACGCATTAATAATAAATTCTTATAGAAAATAATATGTATTTTTTAGTATTTTTATGCAATTAATATATTAATATATTACATGTGTATATATTAATAATAAATATTTTGAAAAAACTTTATTTATGACAATATAGTTAAAGAAGTATAACTCACGCAGAAAAGATTAACGATTAGAGATGCAATACCGATTAGAAGGAGAATGCTATATGATATCCCCAAAGTAGACCATAGGAATTCAGAAAACCTTGAACAAAGATTAACTACTATTGCATCGTTAAAATTTACGTCTACCTAGCTGGACTCCTCACTTAACTAAAATTTAATAAATAAATTATATAATAATACGCTATTTACGCGCATTATAATCCACAAGTAAAAAATTTTACGCTAATTTTATTCAATAAAAAAAATTTTTTTTTTATGGTGGGCCGGAATAAGCTGTCATTGGGCCCCTCTTCCCCACGTGTTAATAATAATTAATTCGAAAAATATTAAATACCCAAGATTTATGCGCTCAAATATTAAAATTAAAGCGACTTCTACGCTCGTCAAACATTCACACGTACAAGTCTATTTATTCCTCGGTTTATTTTGCTTACATTTAAGTAATGGAAAGGTCACTATTACGATGCAGGGGGGAGCAGGGGTGAGAGTCGAAGATGAGAGCCGTGCGCTCCTTTGCAGGGGGGAGGAGTGGGTGAGAGTCGAAGGTGAGAGTTGTGCGCCCCTTTGCAGGGGGGAGAGGGGGTGAGATTCGAAGGTGAGAGTCGTGCGCCCCTTTGCAGGGGGAGGGGGGG